ATATATTAATGAAACTCTTTTATATTCATAGATTATTCCTATGCTAATTATAATTATGCTTACTTCCGAATCAATTCTGAGTGATGTAATGCCACCAAGGGTAAATTGCATAAATGATTGTTGGAAAATTGGAGAAAATTGCAAACAGAAATGTCATCGGAATTCTCAAGAATTCAAATGTAAATCTAATTGTCAAACTGATATAAGAAAATGTCAACGTAGTTGTTAATTGTTTCTTGTTTATTCATAATAATAATGAATAACTTCAATATTCAATGAGTTCTATATTGTGTGTTCATCTTAATTCAATTAGTTTCTATAATTTTTATTTAGCCTATTAAACTATACATTCATTTTACAATTATATTGATGTTACTTCATTATTCAGATTATTTGTAACCTCGAATCAAATGTTCTTAGGAATATAAAAGAAAAGCTTAATGTTGTTATTTAAATGTTTACTCCATATAATTTTCTTTAACAGAATTCATATCTTGAAATGTTAACTATTACCAATAATACAAATGGTGGTAAATGAGAAATTTCAATACAGTTGAAAAATGATAACAGTGTTTTGTTAAGTCCTATATATAATAATTATCTTGTTGTCATTTTAAAAATAAATGATGTAAAGTAATTACATTGTCAGAATAAGGGTTTATGGAGTTTGTAGTAGTGTAATGGATGAATTCACGAATCGATTTAAAGTAGATCACCATTGAAAACCTGGAATCAATGGACGTCCGTTTTGTTCTAGTTTGGGACACCTCAACAATGCTCATCCACGATTTGAACCCAGGACCTTCGGTCTCGCACGCGAATACTTAACCTCTCGACCACTTCAACCAATGCACAATATTGTCTCACACATGACACGGTTTTGACACCACTGATTATGTCTACTAATTATAACTCTAGGAAACACATCTTGAAGCCAGTCACTAGTGAGCACATGATAATTATTATGGATTGGTTAGTTAGACATTAATACCGCCTGATGTCGGCTCAGTTGTCAAGAGATTATATATATACAAATGAATAAATGGTCGCACAAATGGCGTTAAATTGATGGATATATTATCTCTAATGAGCAGTTATTATAATGTTTTAGCTGAGGTGCAATTAAGTATAAAAATCTTTCCAACATCAATATAATGATCTACATATACTTAAATGTTTTAGCATTCGATTAACTAGATAACTTGATTTATTATTATTTTAATTTTAATCTACTATTAGCTTTATTCTATACTATATTTTTGGTAAGGTATAGAATTCTTAGCACAAACCATTTCAATAAGTTTCCATTTCTTGTTTCTTGATCGATCCTGACGATAAATACTGAGTGATCGCCAATTAGATGTTAGCAGTTCAATGATCAACATCTGAATAATGTGTATTCTTTTCGAAGTATATTGCCAGTAACCACGATGTCTCTAGGTGTGCTTTATACTAACTGAATTCATTGTTTAATTAACTGACATAGTGGTCTGTTGAAACAAACAAAAGACAGATAACTTGCTGAATTATCTAGATGGCAGAGACAAGTAGCCCAGATATTCATGCTCGCAGCCTTTATTCTCCCGTGCATTGCATACACTCACCAGGAGTTTTATAATAGAGCCTTTCGATTTTGCAATATCCGAAGTTTGATTGTCATAAACCATTGACATTCGCCAATGTAAGCAAACTCAACAGCGTAACACTTGTAAGAAATGATATAATTCATTAAAATAACATTGATTATTTGTGTTCAATTTATTTCAAACTGTCCCCATATTACTTTCTTTTAAAGTTTCAAAGACAACAACAGTGATTCAGTTACTATAAATATATTGCATTATATATTGTACATTAAAAAAGTTAATGTCACTACCTCATACATAGATAATAATTAGTTTATTCCAATCTAACTAATCGATACAGTAGACTTGAAAGATTAGTATGAATTAGTGGAATAGGTAAAAACAAACGTATTTTGTATAATTTTGAATAAATTTATGATTGAAGAAAAAAAGCAGAAAGTAATCAACTATAATACATAAAACTAATTATAGGTCAGTCAGTCAGCTACAACGTAAAACCAGGCACATATATGCATTGGTCTAAGTTGTCATACCTCATTATCACAACAATGATAGTGATAGTGTGAATGTGGTTTTTGCTCCAAAGAATGTTTAATGTTCTCATGGCTCAATGAATGTCAGAATTCGGCAAATTAAGTTGAATATAACACATTAGCAAATAAGGAGATAAAAACAGGTAAACAGATTGTATCATTTTGTAAGGGTTAATTGTTTTACCGTTACCGATATAAGAACAGAATTTTTTTGATTTCTGTTAAAATATGTAAATCATAAGTGAATACTTCGGTTTTGAATATAAACTAGGATTAGGAGTGAATTCAGTTACACACGTTTCTTGAAATTTATTACACATCGACCAGAATAACAGTATTTATGTTCGCTTTTGATATTTAATACTCATCATCACATTTTAGTTTTGATAGCTGCTTCATCATATCAAATTGCTTTCCAGCCAACTACCGTTTGTAATGAAACAATCATTAAGTCATACACATTTGAAATATGAAATGTTTATATTAATCTCTATAAAATCAACATGGATTTTAGAAATGTTTCTAGTTCACCAAAATCGGTTTTTCATCAGAGTAGCAATGATAGACATTTTATATAAATACTATTGTATAACGAATGTAAATAGTATAGATTTAGTCTATCGAAATGTTATAAATATAATTGAAATGTGTTTAGAAAACTTGTCATTTGTACATTATAATCATTACTAGTATATCATATATTTTGATATTCAGATAGAAGTCTAACTGAAGTTCGTGCTGATTATGTCGTTCAAAAGAACGATGAAAGCTCCACGACCAAACCATCCAACTCAGAGAACAGAACTCCATCAAAATCGTCCACCTGAACTACAAATTTCTCCACCATATCAATATCATATATTGTTAAGTATATAACACTGTATTCTGCTTCTTGGAATTCATGTTAAACCTTCCGAGTGAAATGTTAAAATCGTGAGATTTTCAAGTGTGAATACTTTCTGTAGTTAAAGGAACAGTTCAACATACACCCAGTATTAAATGTTAAACAGAATAACTTTGGTGAATCGATAAGTATGTATTTCCAAGGTATTAAAACAGAAATAAAAACATCTAAACAATGGTTTAAACCATAATTCCATTAATGATATTGCAGCTATTGACTATCTTTTAACAAATTTTTCACTAAAACACCAAAATTAATAAGGAATAAATGCAAGTGTAGTTTACTATAATAATTCCAATTCACCTATCAACTATAGTTTACTCTAAGAGTTCAACTCTTCAAATGATTCAATTTTCATAACTGCAAATATTCATTTCACTATGCTGAATAAATATAATTTTGTTTTGAAGCATCAAATTAGTGGTTAATCAACTGCTCACTAGTGACTGACTTCAGGAGGCATTTACTGAAGTTCTAGTGAGAAACCCTTACCAGTGGAGTTCAACCAGGTCTGTTGTGAGATATCAGCTCACTGAAGACAATGGTATACGGTGGCGCAACCACGTGGATTGGTTGAAGTTAAACATTAACACCTTTGGATTTCGGCCAGCTCAGTGTTCTAGTGGTTAAGTGCTCGCGCGCGGAATCAGTAGTACCTGGGTTCGAATCTTGCGGGGTGCTGGATCGTGGATGCGCACTGCTGAGGAGTCCCATACTAGAATGGAACGGCTGTCCAGTGCTTCCAGGTTTTCCATGGTGGTCTAGCTTCAACTGACTCATGATTTCAATCAGTGAAATTTCTAAAAATTTCCACAAAACCCATTCTGTTATTTGACTGATCATAGAATATCAAGTAGGCAAAACAAAAATTTCAATAGTTGAAATAATTAGTCAATTGAGGCTAGACCACCATGGAAAACTTGGAAGCACTGGACGGCCGTTTCGTCCTAGTATGGGACTCCCCAGCATTCACGATCACACCTCCCGAGAGATTCGAACCCAGGACCTGTCAGTCTCACGCGCGAACGCTTAGCCATTAGACCACTGAGCTGACCGGAATCCAACGGTGTTAATGTCTAACTTCAACCAATTCACGAAATTGCGCCACTGCATACCTTTGTATTCAGTGAGTTGATATCTCACAACAGACCTGGTTGCACTCCACTGGTAAGGGTTTCTCACTAGAACTTCAGTAAATGTCTCTTGAAGTCAGTTACTAGTGAGTAGATGATTATTATCAGAAGTGGTATTGTGGAGATTTTAGAAATTTCAATAGTTGAAATCATGAGTCGATTGAAGCTAGACCATAAAAACTAATTACATTTATACAGTTTATTGACTTAGTCTAGATTCCTACTGAATGTTCTATCAATTTAAGACGGTAGCACATATAAATATTGTTGAAAAGTTCACTAATAGTATCAAAACAATTTATTCATAGATCATTCATTTATATTTTGTTCTCTGATTGGCCGTATAAACCCAAGAATTTCTCATGGTCATTTTAAGAGTCATTCAAGTTCACCATTATTTTTAATGTTTACTAAATATCTGTACATATATAACTTATTGTCAAACTTAGTTTACTTAAAAAAAGGTCACAATCAAGTTACAGACTGTCATGATGTCAACTGATTCAATTCATATTAGATCATCAGATAAATACACATGTTTTAGATGTTAATTTTATTTAAGGTGCATATACACTTCTATTTCTATTTCTATTTTAATATAAATAATTATACTTTACGAAAGAATATAAAACTTCACTTCATAAAGTACATTTACTATCTGACATGGAAGAAAACTTCACTGAAGAAAACTAAAAGGAAGAAATTTTAGATAAATTTCCATAACATATACTTCAGTAATAAATATCTCTAAAGAAACTATCAAAGACAAAGAATCATAGGACAAAGAAAAACATATTTATTACCATAAACTAATATAAACATACCTACATACACAAATGTATACATGCTAATAGAAAAAAAAGAGAGTTTATTCAAGTGTCATTACCCAATCGTGAATGAATTCCCTTTAGACAATATGTATTTTTCCAATTCACATTCCCAATCAGAAGAATGCGTTTTATTAGAAAATGACTATATGAATCAAGATTATCATGTAAATAATGGGACAAATAGTATTAATACAAACCTCAATGGAAACATTATTAATGTGAATGAATATTTTCAAAATATTAGAAAGAAACGTAATAAAAGAAAAAAATATTTCAATGTGACTACTGATTATGTACCCATGAATTCTGATAGTAGTGAAACGGTGAATAATACAAGTAAGTAATATATACGATGAATAATTTCAACTATATATATATAATTACCTCTATTTTTTTATTGTTTTTACTATGCTTCATTCTAAGATTAATTTAATTAATTGGATAGTACAAACATAACAATATTGTATGACGACTAGATACATACTTTTTACCATTATTGAGACGAAAGATTAGATAACAATCTTCAGGATGTGTACAATCTCAGGAAAATGAGATTACTTGCTAGACTTAACTGATATTTCTTAAAGGAGTTAATTCTTTCGCTTATTTCTATCTTTATTAATAAACAAAATAAGTGAATGAAATCTTAATGCAGCAGACATATCATCTACTTGATTAGTTAATCAATGGCTAGAGGATATGAAACCAGATTTTTGTAAAGATATATAAATGTCCTAAAGTTTTGACAAATTTTCTGGTAGTTTAAAACACAAGAAGTAAAATTCATTTCTTATTCAGACTGTTGAAAAGAAAAATACGACTGTTAGTGATTTGAATTTAAATACTTGGCTAAATGTTTTAATTAAACGCGATGCCTAATTAATAATCATAACAAGAATTTCAAACAGCTTCATGTTATGTCTACTTACTGTTTACTCAAATGAATCATTCCAAAACGTCTTCATGGGATTGATCAATAAGTGTTATGACAGTAAATGAATACACTAATATCATTATATCCCATTATATTTATTCCACAATATTATAGAAACATTAATTGATACAGGTCCAAGTCCAACAAAGGAAAGGAAAAAGTGATCAACTATCATATCCAATAAAAAAATGAAACTAGAAATCAAAAAATCTTTATTTTACTGTAAAAGTAGTAAGACATATACAGATAAACCAATGTACAAATATTTAATACATTTTATACTTCAGGTAAAAAACCTTATTCTTTCAATAAAATATATCATCAATAACTTTGCATTATCCATTTAAATTTCATTTCTAATATTCTCTAGTTCAAAACAACGAAATTACAATTACTTGTGAAGGAATTGAAGTACCTGAAATTATTAACACTGGTCTAATAGGAAAATATTTTCCATTCGGTTTCTGTTATGAATTTAAAAAACTTGTTCAATTGGCTATACCAATTGTAAGTCAAAACTGATTAACTTTTATATACTGTAGTAGTCGAGATCATAAGCTAATTGAAGCTAGACCACCATAGAAAACCTGGAAGCAATGGACTGCCGTTTCGTCCTATTATGGGACTCCTCAGCAGTGCGCGTCCGCTATCCCTTCTTGCAAGATTCGGCGCGAACATCATCTAGTGCTTTCAGGTTTCACATGGTGGTCTAGCTTCAATCAACTCATGATTTCAACCATTGAAATTACTATAATATCCACATAAACCCCTTCTGGTTTTAAATATTCGTTTTACCATTGGTAATATTAATTTTTATTAACATCTATCTAATACAATTTGAGTCGATTACTACAATTAGTGATTGTATACATCTTGGTCACTTTTATGCGAAACAGCAAAAAAAGTCGTTTTCTAACGAATTTATTATCAAATTGAAAATAACCAAATTCATCTATGGTTTACAATTATAGTTCATCAGTTCACATCTTAGTGCTTTATTAATTTAAAAAAGCAATAACAACACAGCTGTTTACAGTTTTTGGTACTTCTGTATTGTTTTCGATTACGGTTTAACTGTAATACTGTAATATAGACTGATATTGAAATGAGTTTATTAATAAGATAGAAAATCTTTTTTACTGAATAATATAAATTGAAATAAACTGAGCTACGTATATAACTAGTTCATGATATCAACAATTAAAAGTGTCACGGGTATGTATGAAAGTATATTGGCAAATTCATGAGAAATAATTAAGGAGAAAGGGGAATATTTAGGGCGAAATTGTCTAAAATAAAAGCAATAATGAGTTAGGGCAAAGGTAAGTACAAAGAAGTAATATTGGTTTTTATATACAAAGATTAGACTTTATCTCATAATAAAAGCTTTCTCTGTTGGAGACGAATAAATCTTGACAGAATTAGATAGACTTCATAGAAACATACATATTGGTCATATAGATAAACAAAGTCATTGAGAAACAAACAGAGTTAAGAAATATTTATTTTCAACTATTTTTTTCTTTATGGTCCAAAATTATATTGTCTTACAATTGCAACGTGATATCAATCGAGTGATTTTGTCACATAATACCATTAGAATTTTACAGTCAATCATGAAAGCTTAACTAAGTAATGAAAAGAAAAAATCAAGACGGTTATTATAATCCAAGTAAATATTTGTAAACAGTTGACTGGTTCCACAAAAGCAGTTGAATTGATAAGCATATAAAAGTGTCGAATTCATCTAGCCTGTTTTTATTTATGGTCTATGATATTTGGATTACTGTTAAATATTATATTAATTTTGGCTTCGGTGAATTTCTTCTATGGTGCCATTCTTTTTACATGCGATAATATCTTACAAACATCATCGTACTGTAATTTCAAGAATAGTCACTTCTTGAAAAGTCTTTAACATTAGCTTTATTTTCATTTGATTCATGTGCTGATTGATGAATTCAGTTGAATATCTATTCTTGCCAAGCATATGAAGGATGTCGTCAAACCAAGTTAATTTAAATGGCGAATAGCTGCAAAAACAGGTCCTTGACCATTTGAAAATTTTCTATGCGCATACCTTTTTAAAAGCAGGACATCTACAAATGAGATTCTTTTGTTTTATTCTTAATCTACAGTGAATTTAATTGATGGACGAACGTTGTTAAATATATTAACCAGATTGACATTTCTATAATTTTTCTTCGACTATATGAAAGCATCATACACGTAACACTAATGAAGCTTTAACTGGTTGGGATGGATTCACGAAGTCTTAATAAGAGACACTGCAAGATACAAACGTTCTGATGTTGTCTCGTCTCAGAATTATAAGTGCTCACTTTTGGGAAGTATCAAATGAACAAAGAACCATTGTTCGATGGTTCTTGTTAATTCAAGAGGTATCGTCAGTACGTGCTAAAATATATCATTAAGCTGCGATAATCCTCTTCAACCGCTTCATCCTGTTATTCGGTATTCTTTCACTACACTAATAGTATAATGCTGAATCCTCAATAAATTTTATGGTATCTGTATTAAAAACTACTAGAAATAGAAAAATCTACTTGGAAGGTATATTTAATTAACAAACTTAAGACGCTCTTTTTAGTCAGACAAAAACTACGGTCGGTTTACTTGTAATGTTAAACTCATAAATTTCAAAGCATTAATGGTCTATAAAATCATATACAAACGTTTGAACATTGACAGATTACTTGATTATGTTACTAATTAATCTAAATAAACGCTTAAGAGAGTTATAAGCTGAGATGATCGTGATTAGTACTGGAATCTAGGACGCGCGTTTCGTCCTATTTCGGACTCTTCAGCTGGATGTATTTGCATCTCAGAGTTGATGATCACTCTGAAAGTCGCTTCAAACGTCGTAGCGTTATCCACATATCTACTGAGTCCAGATAGCCATCATCTCGCATAATGAGGTGAATATTAATTCACTTTGTATTAGGTGCTTGAATCTTTCCATAAATGTTTAGGAATGCAATTGATCAGCCTCTTTGGTGAGTGCAAAGAAATCAAAAAATTTGTGTAAACTTTGAACATAAACAACCATGACCTTTAGGAGTCACTAACTTTATTTTAATACTAGTGACAAAAATGCAGTCTGAAGTCTAAAAAGAACATTTGGCATAGTACTATTTGTTTGTTGTTTTACATTTTATCGCTGTATATGACATTAATTAATAAATAAAATTGTTCAAATGCTCACTACGACGCTTAATTTTGATGCTAAAAAATAGTCTATACTTTCAAGCGTTCGCAAGTCATTTTATGACAATTACGTTAAGAAAGGAAATGATTTTAGGAAATCCATTTGGTCGTTTAGTAATATTTTATGCAAAAATTTTAATTTCTGAATTTAATGAATAATAATAGTTGACCGTATTCCAGACTCCGAACATTTCGTTGAATCATCATATTACTAAAATTATTACTATGACAATAATCCAGTTATTTTTCTCATCCTACTATGTATTTTATTATTTCGATTTTACTATACTAATAGTATTGTTTATCTAATTTCTTATGTAATTTCGCAATACTACTAATGATATATTTTAAGAGTAATTAGGCTTAAATCAATATTCCCAAAATTCATGACTGACTCCCATGTATATACTAAACAATGAGTACTGAAATACCATATTCATCAAAGATATCTGATTTTGGATAAAATGTACAATTTACTATCAAAGCTTAATAGCAATGAGAGACATTTTATTCATTCAATCATTTTCTGGTTCAAAATTGATTCATGAAGTTTTCTGATAAAACAGTTTACTTAAGATGATACAAAACTATATTATGCCAAGTAATATCGCATACTTGAAGAGCTGTTTATATAAACAATATCAGTAGGTATATGTAACGTTTTGAAATCAACCATCACTTAATGTCAGTTTTGTTATCGTTTAAAAATTCAATAATTCGAAACATAAATTAAACAATGACATTAAAAGGTAAACTTAACGTGAATGAAGTAACTCTATAACATTAAAACAGTTAGTCTACTTGAAACTATTATTTGAACAATTTTTATCGATTTTAGTAATTTAATAAGAAAACGAATTTTTTCGAACAATCAGATCACATAAATATTCATTAAATTCATGCAGTTCTTTCAACATCTTCCTCCATTAAGAAACCTTTTGTTGAGAACGATCATAAGATTAATATCCAATCACTTGATGTTATACTTTATGAATGGCTCCAGGGGCGTTCAGTAGGTTTTATCAAAGCTTTACCTATCCACTCTTTTTATTCTCAAAAGCGATTCGGTTTTACTTTAAACCTAATCCTAATAATATTAATTTGTTATTTAGTGTGTTATGACCCTCATATTTTTTTATGATCATTGTTTTCTTCTATCTTCCAAATTGGTCTAACTGACATTTTATTTTTCAGTCATAAATATTTTTACAATCGGATAATCTATCAGATTGTTCAAAATACATTTACATAATAAATCATATAGTTATAATAAACCTCACCTTTTTAATGGATTGTTTAAATCTAATTAACAAACAGTTTACATTCACCTAAAATAGAACAGAATGAAAAATGACATTCATTACTTAGTGGTTTTCTTTTGACATACTTTTCGAATGTTCTAGTAAGAATAATCTAGAAAGAAACAAAGAGTATAGAATATACATAGCGTGATCTACAAAGTGAACATAAACTTATTTATCATTATAATGACAATAAAATTAGTTATATTTTTTATACTGATTATAATATTGATTACATTTCTATTATTATCTTATTCAATAAAATAAATAATATAATTTATGGTAATTAGCACACTTGCTTCACTTAAATATCATCCAGGATTAAGTATATTGACAATGAAAAGTTCAAAATGATTATTTATGCCAAAAAAAACAAATATAATTACTTTGTTTACCTTTATATTACATAAGCATAGGCAATACATAAACAAGTTTTCCATAACTAAACTTGTTATTAGACAAACATTTAAACGTTTATTGAAGAATATTAAGTACTTCGAGAACTTAGGTTTAACAGACTCTTTAATGTAGGAATCATAGTACAGGCCACGTGACAAAGTTGTAATAAATCTAATGAGGAGTTTTATTCTTTGATTTTATTCGTCTTGCATAAAACTAGTTTTTATATGTATAATCTTGAATGATCATTGATATTATCATCCTTTCAATACCCTTGATCCTACACTCTAAATAAATTGAACGAATGGTCATCATGTTAACTTTCAATTACTCACAGTACTACATTCAAACTACTCAAATATCTTATTAATTTGTGTTTATTTTTAATTATCTAATACTTTGATTATAATCATAATTTGTATGTAACGATGAACAGTGGTTGAACATTTTTACCTTATAATCAATTGACGAAATTTAATTCAATTTGGAATGATTTGCATGATCCTGTTGTTGATGATATTTTGACTGGAATTCGATCATTATTCGTTGGTGAATGGGTGGATAACCTGACGGTGTTTGGAGCTAACGGTATGAGGTTCGTGTTCCGAAGTGAATATGAATTCTGGGATGTAGGTATATTCAGTTGTTTATTTTCAAGTGGGATGAAATGCGCATCCTGTAGTTCACTATTAACCATATTCCATCTAATCTCAGTGAAATAGTGGGATACTCTTTGAAAAGATATTTTAAGTAGTTCAAACGTTGATAATTGGAACTCTGGGTAAAATAACCGATATTCAACCACTTACAAAAACTATCAGCTATTCAAAGCCTACTTGCTTGATAATTGTCTTCAGAAAATACAGAATATTCGAAAAACAGATAAAACAATTCATTTATCATTTTACTGCCGAGCGAATGTAAGATGTACAATATATAAATTTCCGCGCCATTTTATTGACGAGAAAGAGTTGAGATTTATGAAAGAAACAATTGAAATGACAATAGCAAGTGTGTGAGAAAAACAGCAACAACAACAGAAACTGCAATATATCAACTATGACGTGTATAGTTTTCACAAAACACCTAATTACTTTAGAAGCTCTTTTATTTAATAAAATAAAAAGCTTAGTAACATGAATTAAGGTTATGTAGTTCATCTAATAGAACGTATTACTCAAAATATTTTTCATTTTTTTGATAAAAATAAGAATTTCGAAGATGAAGACTATCAGAACTGTGTGATATATTAGTGCAATACATTTCGGACAATTTGATCACACATAACATACTTGTTAAGAACAATTATATATAAAAATAAAACGTCAACTAGACTAGAAATGGAGGGTAAGAGAAGACAAGTATAATAAATAAATAATCTGAAAATAATTTGAAACCTCATCACTCTGGATAATACGTTAATATTACCAGGGTAGGTTTAAGGTGAGTACAAACTGTTTTTGAATACACAAAGGGGGTTTGAATTTTCGTAGGACTAAGGCTTCAATAAACCTTAGTATACGTCCTGTTACACTTTTGTACAACAACACAAAAGTGAGTTAAGATCAATCTTTTAAAACAGGTCATGAAATTGATGCATTATACTAATATATCACATAGTTCTGATAATCTTTTTCTCTTCTTATCACACTATCGAAATTTATCAAAGGGACTTATTGCTTTAAATAAAAATAATGTCTACTTTGAAATATAAGGAACAAAGCCAGTCGAACATTTGACTTTGCAAAACCTAATAAATGCCATTAAAACTGTACATTTGCTTGAAAACTAAAAAAAGGTTTTTATCTTTGACTGAGTCTAAATTATTGATACAGAGTAAAACTTTTAAAAACCTACAAAGATGATATTATCAGAATGGGTTTTGTGGAGACTTTTAGAAATTTCACAGGTTGGATGCGCACTGCTGAGGAGTCACATACTAGGACGAAACAGCCGTCTAGTGCTTCCAGGTTTTCCATGGTGGTCTAGCTGCAATTGACTCATGATTTCAACCTGTGAAAGATAATATTAATCACGTAGACACAAGTGTTAAGTGTTAAATATTTCTGTGAAAGACAACTAGTTGAATGGGGGGTATATGAACAGAAATAAACCAAGTTATTATATGATCATGCTTTAATTTTTCGGTTATTAGCTAGTTAAGTATGTGCTATTGAATTGCACTCATGATGGCCACTACATATAAAGAAATAAAGTCAATCCATTTCAGAACATCTTGTTAAGTAATAAAATGTCAACCATCACTTAAAAGCATTCATTTCAAATGTTATCTATTGTTGTCATAAAAATCCCTATTATAATTATACTATCAAAATAATCACAATCATTTTTAGTCCAATAAAAATAACCTACTCACTTATAGTTTTGAATCAAAGTGATCATATTTTGGGAAAGATTTCAGAATTAACATTGGAAAATATTAAATACACTGAATATCATTGTAGATTATTAATTCCAAGGAAAAAACAAAATCTAAAACAGAGTTTTTGAATTTCGTCTTTATCATCTATAGTATGTATTTGAATGATCTGAATGATTTCCGTTAACTGATTCATTGAACAAGATGCAAATAAGCATTAGACGTTAGAAATTTAGGTTGCAGCTTGAAACTATATCAAATCATGATAATGCAGAACAGAGATAATTCATAAATTATTTGAAGTCGATTTAGATTTTTCTGTTTTAAGCTATAATTCACGGTAATCAGTTACTACTGATTGAAATGTTTATATTTCTAGTGGGTTATATTCCTGGAAATAATTCTATTTGTTTATAAATATTTTCTTAACTAATTATTGAAGACCATGACATCTTTGGTAGCCTTTTTATCTGGCCCTATGGGTCTTATATTCTGTGGTCAACTTGGAAAAACTGCACTTGCTACTGTCGGTTTAGCAAATTCTGTATTCAATGTCGCTGGCTTAGCTGTTATAACTGGTCTATTAACGGCAGTTGACACCTTATTTTCACAGGTAAATTTAGTCTTCGTTATAAATTGTTACGTTTATTTATTATCTCGAAGATTACAAGAATATAATCACATAAGAATTTTACAATAATGACTTGAAGATAATCACGTTCTTATTTAATACATTAGTTGATAACTCCGACAAAAAAATACATAGGAAAAGCTAAAACTGACGATCAAAACCAATTATCAAATGAAAATCGATATCATCTTTATATACTAGTGACTTAGTTGTTTACAAAATAGTCTACAGTAGGTAATAATTAAATAGGATTGAAATAATCTAACAATATTATTGAATAGTCATAAATTATATGAAATATTTGAATATGTACTTCATACACTGGTTTGATATTAAAAACATTTACCAACAAACAATTATACATAGTCGATTAGAATATGTACGGATAAAAGTTTTACATTTGATCTTAGGTTATACTGAACTAATAGGACTACTATATATTTAATTTTATAGCTGACAATCCCTATGTTGATGTATGATATCAATTCTTATCGTGACTACTATGAACTTAAGTTTATATTTTCAGACAATTTTGAATTCTGTATGTTAAATTTATCCTGTACAAAATGTAAACTGATGGATCCGTATTGTTTGATTTAAATTGTTTACTTTTTGTTTGTGATACAAACATAAAAATAAGAAAATATTCGTTCAGCTAAGAATTAATTTACGGTGAATTCATTCCCTGGATAACATTCATTGTAATTCCCTCCTTCTTTGTTTTGAATGATGCTTTCATGATTCTGGATCCGTGAGATTCCCATCCTACAAGTGCATTTCGTGCCACTTTAGACAGCATTAGAGCAACTCCATGAGTGTGTGGAGCATTTTCATCTTCATGACCAGAGTGGAGCAGCGTCTCTCCCGTATCTAGCCTTTGTTGTCCAACTTAGGTTCAATGGGCTCCGCTGATTCCCAGTACTGCCGATTCGTATCTCCTCATTTCTGTTGCTGTTTGACTGGTCTTCCCGATCTCACACGTTGCCCGGACGTTCCATGTACTTATAAAAATTGTTGCTCTGGTTGTTAGCATCGATGAACACGGAGGATCAGATGCAGACGTAAAGTTGAATTGACAAAGCAAGGGCTGCATTCTTAAAATTGATGAACATATGGAACTCAAAACAACTGTCAACCAATATCAAAGTCACAATCTCCAATACCAACGTCAAGACAGTTAATTCTACTTTACGGAGAGGAAACTTGGAGAACTACTACAACAATCATCAAGAAGGTACAAGTATTTATAAATAGTTTTCTACGCAAGATACTCAACATCCATTGGCCGGATACCATCAGAAACAGCCTACTGTGAGAGAGAATAAACCAGCTTCCAATGGAAGATGTTTAGGCAATTTCGTGGATTGACTGAAGTTTGATATTATCACCGTCGAGTGCCGGATAAGTGGTCGAGAAGTTAAGTGTTCACGGCCGAGGACGAAGGCCCTATGTCCAAATCCCATATGCGGAACCGTAGAAGAGCACTGCTGAGGACTCCTATATTAGCACGAAGTGGCCATCCAGTGTTTCCAGGTCTTCAACGATGGTCCAACATTCCTCGATCCATGATTTCAATCAAAAACGTAAAACATTTGATTATCATTAAGTTAAATAAACTGTATCTATCTCCAGTCCATGGTTTTATGATTGACAGTTGAATTGACATAATAACAATGGGAGAAATAATCTAAACTACTTTTGACCAATTTCAATGAATTTCCTATACGTTATGAAGCACATAAGATTGACTGTTGGTAATATAGTACACGTATAAGCATAGTATATGCCTAAGATCATACTGAGAATAAAGCTATAAAGTATAAAATACAGATGTCTTTCAATATGTTAATATTTTGGTGAATTTATCTTCGTTATGATTGATTTTCATGTGTTTAGATATTTGGCAGTTCAAATAAAGGATTAATGGGCGTTCATTTACAACGTGGTAAGTTACGGTGGTATTCATTATAAATCATTACTACATTACATTAGTCGCCATCGATTTTCAAATAGTTGATAGAACTGTCATATTAGGTTTAACTTGTTGTTTCTTCCAAAAGTGACTAGTACTTATGAAGTTGTGACCAAATATTTTTTATGCATATTCAAAGCTGTTGATTAATTTTGAATACATAATTTTATGAAAATATTGCAATGAACTCTTAATTAAAAAATGGTAATATTAGACAGAAATTAGGATATTTTAGGGACCCAGTCTTTCAACTTTTATTCACTCGCCTCAAAAGGCGAAACATATGTCTTATAATAGCACCGAAAATGCATAAATGACTGACTCAGTGTTTAATAATCCATGTTACCAAGTAGTTAATCAGCGAAGTATTTAAATTCAACTGAAACCATAAGTGTATTAGAACCAATAAGATGAATCTTTTGAAAGAATTCCCTTTCACACTCATTTTGTCTATGTTATCTTGCTTTACTGTTTAACATTCGATTATTTAGTCTAACTCCTATTTGATATTTAAAAGTTCTTGATAACTGCTAACAATCATTAATTCCAGAAATCCATTGCACCAAGTGATTTTCCAAGATTACTTTTCGTTACAAATTAATATCAGTATTAGGAGGAGTAAAAACCCAGGGCGAATGGACAAGCCCATTGACTAAGTTTAAGAATAACTACCAGGATGCATACACCAACCTACGAGGTATAAAACCTTTATAATCTTGTATCCAGTGTAAAAATCAGTCACCCACTAAGTCAATAATTCCCATGGTGACGTTGAAATTTGATGAAATTTATCTACACAATTATTAAAAATTTTTTTTAACGATTCTATTAATAATTTTTGTATTTTTTTTTGAAAAACAATTATATATTTAGCTATTGTAATCTCATTTATAATGTGTATGCCTTGTTGGTCATTATATTTATGCATTGAACCTATACTATTGGGATTGAAACAAAATCCTTTAATGGCTAAGTAAGTTTTAATAAATCTAATATTTTTCAAACATAATATATATTTCGATTTAAAATTATGGCTTTACAAAATCCAATATAAATAGACTATTTTATCACTGGGTACTCTTGTCGATTTGACAATAATACCTTGATTAAAGGATAAACAATTAATGAAAGTGTTCATACTTAAAACAATAAAATTCAGTTTACAACTAGAGATTAAATTAGTAAATATTTTTACTGAAATTAGGCTTGACAATCGTAGATGAGCAGTGCTAAGGACTTCCATACTAGGACGAAATGGCTATCCAGTGCTTCCATGTTTTCCATAGTGGTTTAGTTTCAATTAACTGATGAATGCAATCATTAAATTCCAAATACATTGAGCATTAGTTATATTATTTAAATAATAATGAAATAACATATTTTTATCATTATAATGAGTAGAAAAAATTGGATTTTGAACGTTTAATGACCTGGCATATGTCATTGTTTCAATGAATAATAGTCTATGATACATTACAACAAATTTACACATAAATTAAAGACTGAACTGTACAACCGTTATGAACTGTACTAAAACGTACATTTTTTGTAACAAATAGAGTTCTGTTTAGCTTCAATACGAAGATAATTCAGTGAAGAATATTTTATTGTCTATGATGTCACTAACCAAAGCTGTGTAATTGTACTTATAAGGATTTTATACATAGAAGTCTACAATGAAGTAGAAAATTGTTACATTTTTAAAAAAGATAACAAGAGTTAACAAAAATATCAAATGTTGATCAAAGTTATTTTATAGTCAGGAGATGACGAAAATGGAAATAAATTATAGAAGACAGATTTGATTTGGTTCAAAAGCAACCTAAAAAATAAGAGTGGACTGTTAAAACCATGGTTAGATAACGGATAGGATATTGCCTCTTGTGAACACATAGACCAGACTGTTATGCATAGTGAAATAAACATTTCTAAAAATCTTCCCTGGACGTTGAATGGTATATTCATCACATTAGATATGGAAATTTCAGAGATCTTTTATCATAGATTAATATCGGCCGATGCATTGCAGAAAACCAGGGAGTAGTTATCAGTTATTTCAAACTTAGTTTTGGACTCTTAACCAGTGTTCATAATTTTAAAGTAGGATAAACAACTGTTCAGCTTTTTTAAGCTTCTCAATTTATGTTCCGGCTGATACAACTAAGTAACAACACAAAATAATAAGATTATTTATTCAACAAAGGAATCCTTCTGGACAAATTTATTCCCAACACTTTCTAATCTAATTTCACATAAAAACATATAACTAACAATAATAATAATATAATATATTCTGGAAACAATAAGTACAGTGTTCATGTCAGTTTATAGGCATGATCGGCTTGATATAGATAGTAATACTGAATGTGAAAAACAATGTAATATTAAATTGTTTGAAGTGTTCTACTTCAAAAACATTTTAGGTAGTATGTTTTTCATACGTATTCTAGCAATAACCGGCATCATTGGGGAACTTTTAATTCTTTTTAAGTGGACATTCTGTTGATATATGAACGGTACATTAAGGGTTGATTATTATCTGAAACTATAGGAAATAAAATGGAAGCAGCGAGCAAGAAACAGCAAAAACAATAATTACGACGATAAGTCAGTCAGGTCTACAGTAATGCATTAGTCAGTTTATTTTATGATATAATGTTTGTGTTTGATATTACTTAAATTCGTTAGTATTGACAGGGAAGATGTCAATGTAAAATAACAGCAGGTAGGTAGGTTTATTTAGTAGGCTCAATAGTGAAGACAATTAAGCATTTAAAGTTCCTATTATCTCACTTATGGAATGAGATATACTTACAGGTATAAGCACATGTATGATATATGTGGATACTAAGTTGCCTTAATGCATTTAGTATGCAATGTAAAAAACCGTGAACAACTTTATCGACCAGAGATTCCTGAAGACCAAAAAAATCACTATTTCCATAGGACGATCTTATTTGCTGAAACTGAAGGGGAGGACAGTTATGAAAGTTATCTGCTCAATGAGGTTGAGTCAATAGTGTCCAGTCCATTTTATCTATCAGAAAACTGATACGTTTCAGTTTATAAAATTCTTGAATAAATCTGAAGGACACATTTATTCGTTGCAGTCTACTTAATATTTGTCTCGTAATTTCATTCATCTACATAAATTAATCAAGTATTAAGATAATAAAAAAGCCCACTCCATTGTTCACACACGTATAATACTATTTTGTCTAGATTAAATAGTTTGTATTTGTAACTATCATTTACTTCTTGTTTCAATTATGTTTCAGGAAAGCTTCTGAATATTTATTATTTATGATACCAGGATTGTATGTAAGTTTTAATTAAACATAAATATATGTATATCTATGCTTTATTCCAACAATGAATTACATAATTAATCGATTTGTTTTTTGACTCTTTCTTCAAGTTTGCTGCAATAGGTCAGATTTTAACAAAATACGTTCAAACTCAAGTAAGTCTAACTGTATTTTTAATAATATTAAATGATTACATTATTAGAAGTGAATATAAGAAATTCTGTTAAATGTGAAGTATGAAGGTTTAAGAACGACTAGTTAAAATAACCCAAAATAGTCGACATAAAATGATAACATACAAACGTTTTCATTCCTTTTCCAAAGATGTTTTTTTACTGTTTCTAAATAATAAGCAATGAGAATTGGGTTAGATATTAACACCATTGGATACCGGCTCAGTGGTCCAGTAGGTTAGGCGTTCGCACGCAAGACTTAGGGCCTGGGTTCTAATCCCGCGAGCGTGATCGTGAATGCACACTGCTGAGGAGTTTCACAATAGGACGAAATGGCCATCCAGTGCCTCCAGGCTTTTAATAGTTGTACAAAATCAATCAGTTCATGATCCCAATTAAAAACTTAATAATCTTCACAACTCACATAATGAGAATTGAGTAAATTAAAGTTCAGCTTTATCCATTTTATCAGCTTTGAAAACTTTTATGATAAGACGACAATTACGTTAGTTGAATTTATGATTTCCATTAAGACTTCGAGGTGTAATATTTAATTAAAATTTTTATAACTGAAATAAAAAAGTGTGGTTTGTTTCAAATCTTTTACAAGTTTTAAGTAATCAAAGGATATATCATCATTAGTGACTGATTACAAGAGATGATTCCCTTACTTCTAGTGAAAAGCAATAATCAACAGAGTTTAACTTTCCTGAGAGCTAAGTAGCAACCCATAAGAGACTGACTGAAGCTAGGTATGTGAACCAATGTATTCTAACTTAATTGTATGAAGTTTAAGCAATCACTGCCAGGTCTGAATAGATTAAGTTCGAGTTTCGGAGGGATAGTTGATGTACATACCTGAAACGCCTCTTACTAGAACAACAAAAATATTCAGTGCCTTCTGGTTTTAAATGATCGTCTTAATACAGTTAGCGTTTGACGTAATCTACAAAATCCTGAGAACAGTTGTAGAATATCATTTCGAAAATTGCTGTAACATATACATAAGATCATAGTCTAGCAACACCCAACTAAACTTTTTCAGGTAAGCAATTGAATCCATTTTGTAACTATAATTCTGAAATAATTTCAAGTTATAAACAATCGATACGAAACAGACGAAACAGAATGAGTGTGATCAGAAGATAGTAATGAATATTTTTTCTCTATGCTAGGAGCATCAAAATAGTTGAATAAAATGACCCTAGAAACATCTTCAGGTTGAAAAATACGGAGAAAAATTAAGAGAAAAGAATATTTCATGACATTATTATCGTCATAAAGATGAAAGAAAGACTCGAAGGCTTTTTTCTTTACAACGATCAAGCGTTATCTCATAAGCACTTGAAAAATCCACAAACCTTGTGTAGTATGGATAAATTCTGTATGTTACGAAAATAGTTATATTTGGTCAGTTGATGAGGTTAAAATTAAAACCGGTTGTCTCTTACTGATCGACATTAGCTTTTCAGAGATTTCCCAATAATACAACAACTACAAGTAATATATGTGTTTTACAAGGATAAGGTGAAAGAACATAAGACTTGAAGTAGTGTTCAACTTTCACCTGTACATTATTATTATTAGCTTTATTCAATATTATATATTTTGGCAAAAACTATTTTAACGAGTTTCCGTTCCTTATTTCTTGATCGATCCTGACGATAAATACTGAGTGATCGCCAATTAGATGTTAGCAGTTCAATGATCGACATCTGAATAATGTGTATTCTTTTCTATGTATATTGCCAGTAACCATGATGTCTCTGATTGTGCTCCATACTGACTGAATAAATTGTTAAATTAATTGACATAATGATCTGTTGAAACAAACAAAAGACAGATAACTTTTTGAATTATCTAGATTGCAGAAACAGGTAGCCTAGATATTCAAGCTGGCCGCCTATATCATTGGGATACAAAAAGATTCAACTTTGGCAACTAGTCACTTAGGTATTGTTAAGAAACAACTTATTTAATGAAAAGGGATTCTAAAGATGTATCAATCTAATTAACATTTCAAAATTTGTTGATTTTTTTAAGCAATTCAGAATCATTGTGATAATAAGTAATTGTGATAAACTTTCACAAGATAAAGTTTTTACTTCCTTGATCTATCTACTCACTAATATACAGAAGATAACTTGTCTCAGTCTAGATTAAGACCTTGACACGATAGGCTGACTAGTTTAACTTTGGAAACAAAAAAGTGCATAGCAGTGAATCAAACGAAAGCTTATGGCTTGTAGAATAGACTAGGAACAAAATTAAATGTTAATGTTTTACAAACATTGAATTAAGTGAAATAACGTTCCTAAAAATAGCTTTCGTTGTTCATCATAGCTTCTTTGTTTTTTCAGTTCACATCAAAATGTTGTGAACATTATTCAGATGTGCATCAATGGTTAATATGAGCTTTTGATATCTGTTTGAAAATTTACTAGTTCCTTTCAGGTCTTATACCATAAAGAGTTCGAAATAGTTTCTGAGTTAAACTTTGACTAAATGTGAATATGTAAATTGACGAACGTTGAAAAAGCAAATTATATCCTGATTAAATCAATAATTCGTATAAGTTCAAAAACTTTGTCAAAAATATTAAAGATAGTTTTCAGTATTGGGCAGTCAAAGACTTCTATTGATTATTTTCAAAATACGGGATAGCGATCCAATGGTTCATATTTTTAATTTTATTCGATACATGACTTAATGTTCATGTTCTCTAGTTTCTAATGTTTTCGTAGTTAAAATTGGTTCTTGACGTCAAATGTTTTTCATGATGAACAGTTACAGACTCATCATCCTAGTTAAAAATGTGATTTCATTTGACTTAATGACTTAATCTTATTTATACCGATTTATATACAAAAGCCGATAGTTATCAGTGAATTATTTCACTTGTTTAAAATAGAAAAAAATCCATAGGCTTATAATTTACGTAATGACAATACAACATAGCTTGTACCTTATTCACACTGAAATAGTCCAAAACTCATAACAAATAGTAAACTTCTATAGTAGTTATGTTACAGGGATTAGAAATCAATATAAAAAGCCTTTCTTTCACTGTAGATAAGATATAATTTCACTTCTTATTTTTACACAATTGTATGAAGATTTACTTTTGTTTTTATCTAATTACATTTATCAAAATAATCATATCTAACTTAGTCTAAATTCAGATGTATGATTAACTGTTAATTATAGAATCGTGTATATATTCCTTTGGCAATCGGGATTCTAACAAATTGTTTCAATGCATCTCTGCATTATATTCTTCTATTTGTTTTCAAAATTGGAATAATGTAAGTTATTATAATGTGCTTAAAAGTTTTGCCAAATAACAATGTATGTATGTTTACATGTAAAAATAACGATGTCCTGTAATTTTCACGTTTTCAATACTCGAAAACTGTCATCTAAATTTGATGTATGATTATATAATAGTAATGAAATAAAAAGGTTATAGATCAAATCTGTTTCAGATAAACTACTAAATTATGTAGTAAAATGTTACCCGAGTAATATTCATAGAGTTTCCTAAGCTTCATACATTCTTTTTTAAAACTGTCTTATCTAAACTTTGTTGAACAAATAGGATTATATTCGAATAATAAATTTCAAGTGCTGACTACAGGATTTTACATTACTCCTTGGTTTTTCATAGCTTATTAGGTAAACTGAATTAAGTGATAGAGTAAGAAGAAGCAGAATAGCATACACTTACTTATTTTGCAGATTCTCTTCAACTGCTTAAAGTCTAGAAAAAATTGCATTACACATTGAAAATATGGATACTTTCTGTCAGATATGTTTTGACTAAATTTGAGTTTTCCATGTATATGTAGATTGATATGAGACATTAAATGTGGAATGATTAAAAAATTTTAAACAGACTAAAAGGACAGTATGTTTTTGTTAAGGAAATTGCGCATCATTCGTCTGAAAGTAGATGTGACTTTGATATCTGAAAGGCCTTGCTAATGTCTCTGAAATAAATGGCTTGGAACTTATCAAGCCTTTCTGAAGATGTGTTGCGGACGTTAGATCCCCAGAACTTACTTTTGGAAGGACCTAATTTTGTCATTTTATTTAAAAAATTGGAATTTCTTCGTTTTCGCGACGAAGGCGCTCTTGTCACCTTCATGTCATATCTCCCACTGAGAAATATCTTAAATGCTATTGATCCATTGCGTCTTTTAGTATGTTATTTGGTAACTCTCCCCAAGGACGGTTTTGTTCTGTATATATACGTTTTGAATTGCGTTTGTTGTTATCGCTCGTTTCTGGCTGTTTGCAGAATATACTTCCCCATCCCAAGCTTGGACTTCTTCCTCTAGTTAGCGGGGCTGGGACGAATCACTAGCTAGCTTACTGGTCTTTGGTCCCTGAGTCTTTGTTTACGTTGGCAGATTAAGTGAACTCGTGATAGCTTCAACCCTAGCAAGATGTTGCTACAATATTAGTCAAACTAAATTTGTCTTGGAAACCTGTTCTTCATAAATTTGTCAAGTTACAAATTTCCTTGACTTTAAGTTAATTTTCTTATTTATTGCTTCTTATATGAGTTTTACTTGGTTAGTTAGATATGTTAAATATTCCACAGACTAAGACATAAATCTCAGATTTCAGATTTCCAAGTTTCAGATCAGTATAATAGAACTGTCTTGACGTTTATATTGTAATGTCTGACGTTGATGTTGGTCGACAATTGTTTGAGTCCCATATGTTTTCCAGTTGTAGGAATCCCATCCTTGTTTTCCCAATTTGTCCCTTCATATCTGCACCAGATGCTCCTTGTTTATCAATGATGCCTCCACCTATTCCTGAGCTTCACAATCATGTGCAACATGACTGTTGCTGGCTGTGTTGTATTTTAGAATCTTGTTCTTTTCTTTATGTATTTTGGGGCTTACTTCTATGAGAGCCGCTGTTATGGTAGCCAACTTCGTCTTCAATTGTTGCTTTGCACGAAACAGTAGGGATTGTTTATCTACAGAGTCTAAATCCTCCAACTCTGTCTAACGTGTTCACTGTATCGTGTGCTTTTCCTTAAGTAGGGAGATCTTGATATTTTAATCAACACTCATATGAAGGAGAAAGGGTGAGAGTGAACAGTCTTGACTGAGATCGGCTTCACTTGTAATACATCTTTAAGCTCCTCTCCACAGATGACTTGCAATGCTGCCAAAGTGGAAGCTTCGTGTGATGGTGACGATTTCAGCCACTCTATAGTGTCAAACAATGTTTTATCATATTATCGTAATCGAAAAGTTGCTATGTAGCTACTTGACTCTAGATTGGCCTCCTATAGGACTGGAATGCTTACACTAATTTCACTTATACGTAAGTATTACCGTAATTTCCAAAGTTTTCAATGTTCATTAAATAATTGCCAGTTTTAACAATGTAGTCTTGATGTAGTTACATTCGTAGTACATTACTTTGCAAACATCAATCTTCATTAAATTGTCGTAGTTTCGATCAACTGATCATGGTGCTTTAAAAATAAGAAAATATGCTTACAACATGGTAGCATTTAACATTTCAGACTTAAACAAAAGCCAACACTATTTTTATATTCATTAGTAAATCATAAGTAGTGTCCTAAGTTATATCTTAAACACATTTCAGTAAATCTTAATATTTTTTATATAATCTATGCTAACAGTGTAAATGTAAATTTTCTAAAGTAGTTTCAAATACAATCGATATATCTACTGTTATAATTCATTCTATCATTAGAGGTTCAGCTATTTCTCAATCATCAGCTTATTTATTTCAATGTGTTTGCTATCTACCATATATTCTGATGTTGCAGCAATCAGGACTAACATGGAAAGGTAATTTGTTTTTTTCTATTCTTATTGAATATTTACAACTATGAAATAATGTGTCTATATTTATTTTAATGGGATGGTAGTATAGTGGGCAACAAATTAGCCTGATATTCTGGCCTTAATCTCATAAGTTTGCGCATGACAATAACAATCGATCTTTTAGTAAAGTTGAATACCACATTTATGGTGTGTTAAATATTTATTTTCTAGATCTGTGCAATTTCATCACATAAAAAGGTATATTTTGTTAACTAGTTATTCCGTTTTTGGATATTTGTTCAGTGGAACAGTGGATCAATAAGTGGGATTTTGAGCACTTATCTCTTCAGCCTTAATCAATCATACAATCGACCCCACTTATTTTCTAATACAAACATATTTTTCCCTGCTAAAACAAATACTAGTAAACTAACGTCTTTAATTAGTGTTTATTCTGTACTAGTTTACAAATGTAAAACCCGCTGTCCTTCAGACTATTGTTTTACTACAATATAATTATTTAATTTTCTATAATGAATAACTCAATACTAAGTTTCCAAATTTTTTGAATAAATCCATATTGGTTTTTTTATAAATTAAAATGTTGAAGTATCGTTCTACCGGTCAACTTTGTTTGATTTCTAAATTCTAGAGCTTTGAATGGCATAACGTTTTTTGTAACATCATTTTAGGTTGGACAAATGAACTATGGCTTGACTGGGGAAGATGGTTCAAATTAGCTATGCCAGGTGTTCTCATGATTACCTTGGAATGGGTCATTTTTGAAATGGGCAGCATAGTTTCAGGTGATTTACTGAGAATATTTTTGAAAATTGATGTTATAACCATGGATAAGTAAACGTAAATATGTAGAAGTATATTCTTTCTGAAACTACTCCATTACAACTTGATGAAATTTAAGCAAAACTGTTAGTTATTCTTGATGATAAACCTAACTTTTCCATGGGTTCTTCGTAATTATTACTAGTATACACTGTGTAATTTTTAGTGCTTTTTTTATCTAAAAATTGATCGTTGTCTTGGCAAGTTTTAAACAAGATGTTACACGCCGTCTATATATCTTGATTAAGGTCATCAAGTAATTTATTAATGAGAGATGAACAATTTACTAGAAATCTGCTTTGCAAAACACATAAAGGAATTCGATATGGATAATATGCATACAGCATTTTTTTTCCGATGTAATCAAGTAGAAGTCATTTATGATACTGAAATATAGTTCAGTGGTCACATATTTCAACTACTTTTAATCGTCCAAATTCCCCAATAAAGAAATTTACTAAAATCAAACAAACTCAATCATCTGTAAATAATATGATGGAGTGCTTTGTTAAGAATTATTTTAGTTAAACGTTTATGTGCAAAAACGCACATTTACAATAATGTAAACGACTCTCATATTCATAATATGATTTACTAAACTAAATTGCCTCCAGAAAAATGTTACGGAGATTGTTTATTTTCAGTAGTAAGTTTCGATGGGTGTAAAAGATTTTACTGATCAGCTTTAAAAGTGATTTTTTTCCTTTAAATCTGATTCGGGATAATTCCAAAACTCAAGAAATGTAAATACTGATTGGTTGAGTCCTTTGGTATACAAGTTTGATGCAATGCATCAATAAGTCCTTTTGTCTTTCACAAGCACGTTGTATCTTTACGTGCCCTCAAATATACTTTTACATCATTTTCTCCTGGTGATCACGTTTTAGTTGTTTACCTCTTTAAAATGTACAGTATTTCGACAAATACTAAACTACATTCAATTTGACTGTATTTAATATGAATCGTGTGATAAAGGAAAAGTTTCTTCGGCTGTCATATGAACATTTTTAGTTTAAATAATTTGCTTTCACCATTTTAATAACAGTTTGAAATATATTCTCCAATTTTTTTGAAATCATTGCTTTAACAGGTACACTTGGTGAAAGAGAATTAGCTACCCAAACAATTCTTTTCAACATTGAATCAATGTGCTTTACACTGGTAGGAATGAATTGTAATTCATCAATATATTATTGTCTACGCATAATTGATATTAGTCAATAATTTAAATCTATTAACGTTATATGTTGTAAATAGATATTTTATTGTTTTTACTATGCATTTATAAAAGTCAAACTAAGAGAAAACTTTCTGTGCAATTAGTATAGCTATTTGTGATATATGACTGAAATAATTAATTGTCAGCAAGTCATCAATTACAGATGTCTTAGAAATATTGCTCGCATCTGCTGGGATCACCGGGTAAGTAATAGTGAGGTTAGACGCAGGGTATTAGGGAATGGTGGCAAATCAGTTGATGACATTGTAAGTCTCCATCGACTTAGATGGTTGGGCCACGTGTTATGTATGCCCGAACACTGTTTACCATGACGTGCGATGCTGACCGGTGTTCCGGATGGTTGGAAGAAAGTTGAGTGTGGCCAAACCAAAACGCGGCATCAGTCCTTGAAGTCACTAACTTCTAGTCTTACCCATGTTGGTAGATGCAGACTACTTGGTTGGGTTCCGCGTGACTATCGTAACCAATGATTGGAGACTGTGTGACATGACTCAGAATCGATCATAATGGCGTCGGTGTATACGCTCTCTGTTTTCCCTTAAACTAAGAGATTAAAATCGCTTCACATCTTTCTTTCTACGAACTAACTCTTTCTTCCTGTACTATGTCGTTATGTGCAATCTTTCTTTTATATATTACCACCTCTGAATTAACTACTTTTATGAATCCGGTATCCAACTTGTTGTGTTAATGAGGTATGGCAACCTGGACCGATGCATATATGTGCCTGGTCCTACGTTGTAGCTGACTGACTGACTGACATCAATCCTTTATAGAACATTCCTAAATAAATGTCATATATCATCTTCATTAAATGTAGACATACAATTATTAGTGTAATAATCTGTCGGTTTATTACAATGAATCTTCTGTTTACACGTGTAACCTATTGAGCCAAAAACTGAAAGCAATAAAAAACAAAAGTTACAAAGATATCCATACAAATGTGTCAGAATAAACTATTTGCAAATCAATGCTGTGTTTACACAAACTTATCTTTTAGTATTGAAGGACAAAAATATGCTTTCAGTTTGACTTGAATAAATTGACTTACACAATAATAATACCTATGGATTATCAGTCGATTCAAGTCTCTTATTATATGTTCTAATATATTTTATTTGTTTCTGTGTTAGAAAAATATATTTTGCATATAAGCGTAAAACATAGTCTAGTAATTTTGCACTAACCTTCAACAACGGTTATATTTGAGTAGAAATATATCTTTAACTAAAGCAATACCATATGATGAAATGGGATAAATCCATCAAACAATCCTTACAGACTACTGATATTGTGATTAGCATATTTTATCAGTCTAAATTCCCTTAAGATCAAGACAACTTATAGAAAACCAATTCTGAGGACAGAATCTCTTTTGCTGGTTACACATTTAAAAACAGTATATAGGTAGAAATATAGCGTTGCCAATTGAATTAAGCGACACAAATTGGTTTAATCGGTAGTTTAGTAATCAAACACTAGATTATTAGTGTTTTACTTTTAATCCTTCTTTTCAAATCTTAGGAGGTGTAATTATTTCAGTTCCATGATATCTGTACAAAATATGGTAATTTTTGAGCACTGAATAATTCACCATCAACACCATTACGTCATTTAATAATCAACTGTCAACTAGTTTAAAGCAGTTATAATATTACTACTTTGAAATATAATCACCAGTTTGCTTCATCATCTCTAGAATGAGAAAAATAGAACTTTTAAGTAGCTTATTTAAAATAATCTCTCTATTGTTACTGGATATCAACTTCTCATTGATTTCTATATTGATACTTTGTCAACAGTAATAGTAGTTTTCATTTTGATACGTTTTATGTATAATCTTGAATGAACATTGATATTATCATCCTTTCAATACCCTTGATCCTACACTCTAAATAAATTGAACGAATGATCATCATGTTAACTTTCAATTACTCACAGTACTACATTCAAACTACTCAAATATCTTATTAATTTGTGTTTATTTTTAATTATCTAATACTTTGATTATAATCATAATTTGTATGTACCGATGAACAGTGGTTGAACATTTTTACCTCATAATCAATTGACGAAATTTAATTCAATTTGGAATGATTTGCATGATCCTGTTGTTGATGATATTTTGACTGAAATTCGATCATTATTCGTTGGTGAATGGGTGGATAACCTGACGGTGTTTGGAGCTAACGGAATGGGGTTCGTGTTCCGAAGTGAATATGAATTCTGGGATGTAGGTATATTCAGTTGTTGATTTTCAATTGGGATGAAATGCGCATCCTGTAATTCACTATTAACCATATTCCATCTAATCTCAGTGAAATAGTGGGATACTCTTTGAAAAGATATTTTGAGTAGTTCAAACGTTGATAATTGGAACTCCGGATAAAAATAACCGACTAAAATATGTTGAGACGAAATACTTGTTCAGTGATTTTTGTTTTTTATTAGTTGTCCAGGTGTCGTCAGTCCGTGATGTAATGAGATGGCTCGTTCAATTTCTTATGTTATTCTGAGAACTAATTAACTACTTATCTCTATAAAGTAATAATATCATGTATTTCTTGTACTTGTCTTTCATTTAGTTACCACTTGGATTCGGTATAGCATCAAGCATACGTGTTGGTCAATTTCTTGGTGCTCGCTCTTCAATCGGACCACGGTCAGTTGTTTCTACAGCTCTTGTAACACTATGTAAGTAAGAAGGATTGATAAAATCTGTGAATACAACTGCTTTAGTATTGACATACATTACTGTATCTTAGAAACTTCTTTCTTTTCAAAATATCATATTGTTTTTATTGTTATTTTGAAACTTTTCATGAGACTCAAAAACAGTCAGTGACGTTGTGAACATGTACTAAGTGACATGGTAGAAGAGATACTCCGTTACTGGGTGGGGAATAACCACAATCCTAAATGTCTGATTCTGATTGGTTGACGGTCGTACATGAATAGCATTTAATTTTCAAAAAAAATCAAAACAGATCCTGTTATTCACTAATGGGGGATTAAAAGGAAGGTATAGACTCTATGATATTGGTTTTTTGTCTTATTCCACTAAGGGCCGATTAACTCAATATAACGGTTCAGTTAAGAAATTTTTTTGGATTTCTAGTTCAGAGTTGCACAAATACAAAATAAACTATTTTTACATTTATCCGTAATGCCCATGTCTATAATAACGACAATTTAACGGAGAAAGTGATGAAAAATCAAAACACCAAACTATCAGTTGTACTAAGGGATTGAAAATCTGGTTCACAAGACCCTGAGAATTATTCAAGAATGTCCCAGAATCTAGACGAAAATCAGTAACTGTAAATATATGTCGTAGGACATGGTAAGATGACCTCTAGAAATGAAATGTCGTCAGAAAGATCGAGGAAAATTGGTTGCCAAAAATTTCTTTATACATACTCCTGGTTTCTCTACATGTAATTCAAAGGTTTCAGCAATACAAAGAAGTCGAAATTCCAGTGTTCTCTTCAGGTTTGAATCACCTTATTGGTGACTTTGAGTGACTGGTCAGTTTAATTGGATGGCCGATTTCTTTTTTATTATCTCAATTACTAGAGCCGTACAATCTTGTTCATAGTTAGTTTTACAAATAGCAATCGAGAATAAAATAGAGATACATTACTACTCATAACAAATTTTTCAAAGTTTGCATGTTTGTGTAGTAGTCCTAAAGCTTAAAAATAGTAATTTGTAGAGCAAATGTAAAAGTCGGTCGTTCACTTGCCGGATATAAAGAAGATGAAGAATAAGCGAATAGCTGTCAATAACAGCATACACGACTAGGACGAGTGTATATACCATGGAAAAATAGGGAATTGGACATATCGCAGATATGAAGTGGTGAATTGTTGTAGTTTCGGCTGTGAAAGAAGTTTTGATCATAACATTCTCTGAGTTAGCTCTTTCGATAAACTGATACATCTAAAATGGAAGATCTCAAGTTTGCACCTTATCCCTAGTACTTCCCCGACTAATGTACCTACTAAGGAAAGCGACTATCAGTTCTTCCGATTAGATCTTTCTAAAAAGACATTTGCATGCTATTCTTCAAAATTTCTGCAGACTTATTTGTATTGACTTTACGTGAATTAGATTTTCTTCTGTATTCCCTGCGGTGCACTTTCAGCTGGTTATTTTGGTTTTAGGTTTCTATAAATTAGCTTTGGGGAGAAATCATTTCAAAATGGTCTTCTTCGGACTTCAGTTAATTCATCACCGATCCATATTCTTTGTGCATGTTAGTGTAGTTCTCATAAATAAAGAATGAATTAAGTTGACTTAGCTAAACTACTTTCATTTCTTTTTTTAATGACCCAATGCGTTTGTTTCATTGTTTTAAAATCAATAAATCAACTAAATTTGTATGTTTTCAAAAATAATTTTTTAGTTTAACAATGAACATCAGTAAATTAAAAGAATTTTACCAATCAAATTATGTAGTTTAACGATGTTTGTCCAAGTGTTGAATTAAAACGAGTTAACTAGATAAGATTAAAATAATCCAACTGGGTTTTTGTATTTATAATATAAATTTCACTGACATTATATTGTCATAAAGTTATAAAAACATAAAATTAGCTATGTTGGGAGCGCTCACCTTGAAAAGTTAATCTATAGAGAGACATCCAAACTAATTCACCATATATACATTATACTCGTGTTTTCAATAATAAATTTAATGATATGAATTTCTGATGGTAATAACGTAATAAAAACTGAAGTCGAAAGGTAAAAGGAGAAAGATAAAAGTATTGTCAGCCCATTCTTTAAAAATATGATTTCATATACATCTATTTTCAAGGTGCATATCATATGATGGATGAAATGATCGAAATCCAGCCCACTGAGACTATTCGAGCTTTCATTAAGACTTAAGTAACAGTAAATTACAAATGCTCTGGTATGACCGAGGGTGGGGAGAGTCCGATATCCCTTTCAAAATGCTTTTACATGGCCACGCCTGTACAGCCAGTGTCAGGGGAGTCCTACTCACTACCTTCTCGCGGCGGGAGTGTTGTTTACGAAATTAAGAGGATGGAAAGCGAATGTCCGGCGCCTTAACCGGGTTAGTGGACACGGAGAGTCCACCTAGGGAGTTGGAAAACCCTGGTTCTAAATCAGACGTGCACATGAGCTCCAGTATCTTGAGGGAACAACTGGCGTATGAACCTATTGTTGGTCACCGGCCACCGTGGGACTGCATCTCCTAACGTTTCTCCACTGCCTTGTGGATTGGACTTTCGGATCAAAGGCTCGGAGTGTGACCCTCCAAGAAAGCCACCTGCCTCGGTCTGGGCACCCGAGTAGTATCACGGCCCACATACAAATCAAATGACATGTGTGTTGCATATATTTTCGGTGACCCTTTGGACCAATATTCATGTGTTCAAATAAATAAAATAAATAAATGTATTCTATGTATTTACTGTAAAATAAATTTCCCGTAATTTGTTTTGCCTAGATATTATCTACCTTCAAAATGAGTTAATACCTGCATAATTTATTAGTTCTTTCAATCAGTAATTTACATGCAAAATATGTCTATGTTAATAATAAACATTTTCTTCTGTTATTTTTTCAGGGACAGCTTCTATTGCCTTTATTCTAGCTTTGTCCTTATTGAGATGGAAAATTCCAATGATTTTCACTTCTGATCAGTAAGTTGATTTTTTCTCTTAAAACACTCAAGTAGGTCGTTCATTTCTATAATAGTATAGTAGAACTTAAAATATGCCTTAAATTGAGATATGATTCAAAACGGATAATTAATTTCTGGCTTAATAGAAACAAATAAGTAGAAACAACAAATAAAAATCTGCTTTTCTGCACTGAATTTACAAAAATTCCAGCTTGTTTTTATTTGAAACCTTGTTTACACAGTATTTTTAGGTCGATAAGTTAAATTATTCTTTAAATATTGAACTTAATATATAGTCTTTGTCCTAACGTTGTGATAAGTATGGTTAGGAAAAAAACAAACAGTGGCTTCTTAGTACTAAATACTTTGCAGCAACAACAATTTGGAAGACTCTCCCAGTCTCCCACATTGTACGAGCGTTCCATGTATCTAGATAAATGGTTGCTCTGATTGTCAGAAGGGGTATCAGCCTCATGAATTCCGAAGGAACTCGGTTTTTACCATGAGGCGTCATAACTCTTCTAAATGAAGACCTTCTGACTCCCAGAGCAGAGTTTAGATGGTTTGAATAATTTTTCCTGGTTAGCGTTTTTTTAGCGAGTTAGTTTTCTACGGGGTGGGGTCGATAACCTCATGCCCAACCCTCCTCCTTCATCCGGGCTTGTGACCGGCAGTAGCCTCAGAGGGGCTCCAGGCTGAGATTTAACGATTCAAATAATATCCTAGATTTTACTGAAATGGAATATAAATGGCTGGAATAATATAATATAAAAATTAGAATTCAATGATCTTATTTCTTTAGCCTCTCCTTATATCGCATTTATTAAGCAGACTACAAATAGAAATATCTATTACTGTCGAATTACTATAAGAATTCTAATGAAATCAGACTACTTTGAAGTACTATGATATTTGATTTAGATAGAGTTGGGACTTTTATGATGAAATATTATTTTAAAGCTTTATATTCATTCTCTATTTTAAGAATCTATTTGTTATTATTTAATCTATATTCATCCTAATTAATAAAGAGATGTCATTGAACTATCCGCTAAACTATTGCCATTGATTGCTACATTTCAAATATTTGATGGAACTGTGGTAAGATTTTAATGAAAACATATAGTGTTTCATTTTCTTTCTTTCTTTTGTTTATTATAAACTAATTTCACATGGTTGAATATCCACATTCATATTGATTAAAGCATAATTTCTACAACTTCTTAGTTCACAATTTTCAATAGTCAACGACCTGTATCACAGGCAAGTTACAGTGCTCTTGGTAATCTGCTTCAAAAACGTTAATTTTCAGTTAGAATATGTACTGTAAAAGCATGTAAAGAATGTTAGGAAAGTTTTATCGTGTTCATAGTCAATTTTACAATGTTAATTAATTTCACTGGAAACCTGTATCACTGCATAAATTTAAATAGTGATACCGTAGAAAGTGTATATGAAAAACACTGAATATGTGCAACAAGATTATAAAGGACTATTCAGGAGATAGTGATTAGAATTGCAAAAATCAGGCCCAGGGAAATTCAAACCAAACTTTTATAGGCTGGATCTCCATCAACTAAGAAATGGAAAACAATTTATCATTAGATTCTAGATTTACTTTAGTCACTCACTATCCCTACACACATAAAAACAAAACAATGTTCAATTTCCGTTTTTCGCCGTGACTAAAGGCCTACATGTCATAAGCTAGCTATAAGAAACGAATTATACTAATTAATAGCCTTATATTTTTTTCATAAACAGATATCGCATTGTTTCCTGTAGGTAATAATGTCTTGGATCATGCTTGAATGTTGTTTCATGTTTTGAAAGCATTATAACATGAAAATAAGTCACGAACGACCAACAATAAAAACATTGGTTGTTTTCTGTGATAAGTGAATAAGCTGTCAAGATTTCCTATTTGCGGTCAAGCATCGGCTAAAAATACCACCATAACCACCCACATAGAACAACTTTTTAGTTACAGTGTTGATATGAGATAACAACCTTTAAGACAAGTTGCTTTTACTAACTCAACTACTGAGAATACATATATGTATATCTATGTTTTTAATTATTTCAAATTGTCCACAACTTAAAGTGAAGCCTATTTAGGGATAACTTAATCACAAATGATTGGTAGAAAATGACGAAATCATGTGATCTCAGTCTATGAATAAGGTGAAGTATGATTGTGATTCAATTTGAATAAACCCATGTACCATAAATTATATATTTACTATACTACATAGCTGAATATGAACTGAAATACAGATTGCGATATGAGTTATATCATCCCATTACTAGCTGAAATTCTTATTGACAAAACTGTTAAAGTTGCAGATCAGACGTTTTTTAAGTTACGTAAAAGTAGATTATCTACCCAAAGGTAAATATACTATTTACATCTAAGTTAAGAAACATCCGTGTATCTCCCTCAAATAGTATTATCGAGGATATTAAGTATAAAATATGAAAACCATGAAGTTTTAATGGTTTTATCACGGAAAACCTGTTCTGAATGTAGTTTTAAGGGGTTCTTGAATATCAATAAAATATCATGTGAATCTATGATTTGATCTACTTGTCCTATAAAATGATAAATTAAGGTTTCAAATGAATAGGTCTCCATTTGTACTTGAATATTGATCAATTCCGACTAATCAAAAGGGAAATAAGTCTACCAAGTCAGACCTTATAGCCCGTGGGTGACGTCAAATAAATCCAGTCAGTCAATGGACTAAGAATAAATCAAGTTTACGCATAACTATTAGATAAACTTTCGTTCTTTATTTAATTCCGCAGGGTGTTTGCGGGGGTGCCATTCGTGGAGCTGGACTACAACTGTTCGGTGCAATTGTTTGTTTTATAAGCTTATATGTAATAGGTTCCCCAATCAGTTTTAGCCTTGTTTACGCTGGTGGTTACGGTTTGGAAGGTAATTGAGTGTATTTTTTGCTTTTTAGTTTGTAAATTGAGATAGTTAGACTGGTAGTTCAGCTTACAAATAAAACCACACAAGTTATTCAATATTTAACATTGTTTTATTAAAATCCTGTCTTTGCGTTTGCAAAAAAAAACAGTTGTAGTTTCTTGGAAAATCCTCTAAAAAAGAATACTTAAGTCTCTTCAATGTCACCATAAGTGAACACAGAAAGAAAGGGTAAATGATATGGGCAAATTTAATTTCTGGAACTAACATAGTGTTATACATAAACAACTGATCGTTCCACTGTGTTAAAGTGAACCAGTAAGCAGATAGTTAGAGAGTAAACTTATGTAAATTGTACTCACTTCCAACGACTCTGCATATCATTCACTGGATCCATTACTGTGTGGAACAAAATAAATTTTTGACCAACTCAAGTAATTTCTATTTAACAAAGATTTTATTGTCTGTGACTATTTTTGTACCACTTGTGAGGTTTGAACGAATTAAACACTTTAGTTGATTTGACCATCTATTTAATCGAACTCCAGAAATTTATGCTTATTCTCATAGTCCACGTTATGTACTAGTAAAGGAATAACACAACTAGCCAGAAGTAATTTATTCATACGCCAAGTGAGATGTCGATATAAAAACTCTCCAAATGTGCACATCGGGCGTAAAATCAATTACTTTCTTAAAATGTTAAGACTCTTTCTTAACTGAATTCATCTATTAACAATAGGTTTATGGGCTGGTATGACAATTGGAACCATTTTCGAAGGTGTTATTTATCTTATAACATGTCAGCACATTAATTGGGAGAAACAGGTTCAGCTAGTAAGTAAATCTATTATTAATTTAAAATCACTTTATTTTGTCTTTGTAATTACTGGACGTTTGTCGACAAAACCAAACACGCTTTTAAAGAGGATTTTAGGAATTAACTATTTTGAAGACCTTTTTATATAATAGATCAGCGTCACGATGGCAAACACTTGTAATAAAGCCCTCTGTCATATCCTGAAACTTATCTGTAGTTCATTTCACACTCAAAATCGAAAAGCCGTAAATTGAGGCCTTGATGACCAGCTATAATCTGGGAGAGTTATGAGGTTGAGTTTGAGCATATACTTGCATTTGATCACAAGAAAATGTATTTGACCGATGGAAGTCAAACACTGTATTCTGGAAACATCCATAGATCAGCACTTTTTAAAAAGTCTTGACATTAAAATTAAGAATCGTTTATTTATTTGTTTGTCATGTGATAATGAACTGCAATGTCATGAATTTTCAGATATAAGATTTCTGTCAGGCAAACAAAAAACTCAATTGGGTAAAAAATTAACGGTCCTCTGTATTTGGTTAAAACATATATACACTTTTCTTTCTTTGCTGTGAGCTATATAAATCTGTATAGTGGGGTTTGCGTAGATTATAGAATTCAAATAATGACAGACCACGGATCGAGTTTAGCTAAACCATCATTGGAAACTTGGAAGCACTGGACAGTTGTCTTGTTCTGGTATAGAACTTCTCAGTAGTGAGCATCCAGGAATCTACCACTGAAAATCAAATTCAGGAACTTCAGTCTGGTGCAAACCGTAATCTCGTAATTTCAACTAGCCATTCTGTATTGTATTCCAATATATAACTCACTTCAACTTAATCACAAAATCTATTTTTATTTCCTAATTGTTTTTTTCGAAATTCAGGCTATTGAAAGAACCGAACAATTAATACTAGATGATGACCAACTGCAAGAAGGAAATACAAACCAATTGACTGGAGAAGTTCAACATTCAAAAAATATCAAGTCCTCATCGATTAAAGATGAATGTGTAAATGATGAGGAACAAATCGATGTTCAAAATGATAATTCATTTCATGAAAGTAGGGTTCTTGGTTTTATTAAAATTTTGTCTGTGTCATATAGCAGTGAATACTATTTTACGACATTAAAAGCAGTTTTATCGTGAATCTTTGAAAATGCAGTATACGCTGATCAGTTTACATTAACTGTTCTGTGTAAAATATTTTAAAATATCATGATGCATAGACTGCCCATTTCTGTATAGAAATGAATAACAACTCTTTACTTACTACATTCTAAAAATAGTAAAATAACAATAAATCTAGTATAGGGGTTGTGGAGATTATTACGTTTTTGATTGAGATCATGAACCGATTAATGTTAGACCATTACAATTGAAAACCTGGAAGCACTGGACGGCCGTTTCGTCCTATTGTGGGACTCCTCAGCAGTGCGCATCCACGATCCCGCGAGCGGGATTCGAACCCAGGGCCTTCGGTCTCGCGCGCCGTCCAGCGCTTCCAGGTTTTCAATTGTGATGGTCTAACATTAATCAGTTCATGATCTCAATCAAAAACTTAATAATCTCCACAACCCCTATACTAGTAATTAACATGTGCTCACTAGTGACTAGCTTCGTGAGGGAATTCTCGGAGTTCTAGTGAGAAGCCGTGATCAGTGGAGCTAATCCTTGTCGGGTAGAGACAGGTATCTGCCTCAGTACAATGGAAGTTGGTCGCGCAATTTCGTGGATTGGTTGATGTTAGAAACTATCACCATTGGGTGCCGGCTCAGTGGTCCAGTTGGTTAAGCGTTCGCGCGCGAGACCGAAGGCCCTGGGTTCGAATCCCGCTCGCGGAATCGTGGATGCGCGCTGCTGAGGAGTCCCACAATAGGACGAAACGGCCGTCCAGTGCTTCCAGGTTTTCAATTGTGATGGTCTAACATTAATCGGTTCATGATCTCAATCAAAAACAATAAATCTATTACTAACCTCTTGATTACATTACAATAATCTATTTAAGAATCCCTGAATATATATATGGAAAGTGTCGCTTTTTATTCAAAAATAATCTACATTCAGTGTAATGGAGATTAAAAATTCTTCCATGCTGTTCATCAGTCACTTCATTTTGCTGTGTCTGAATTATTCAGTAAGTTTATTTTTCAGCAGCGTATAAAACTAAGTGCTGAAACCTTTGTCCTCTTCTAGAATACACATACGAATAAATATTGTTGCAGTTTTTATTACTGTCCTATGATTATTATTAATTATTGTTTGACTTATATTGCTTACTGTTAGGAATCGGCCTATTGTGATTTGTAATGAAGGGATATTTGGAGATTTCTCACATAAATGAATGAAATAAGTAAATTAGTTGATAATATGAACTGACACCATTTGGTCGGGCAATTTTTCATTTTGTTGCATTGTAGTCAACGAACACTCAATCGGGGAAGACCAATTCATTGGTTATCAATCCCTGCACAGCCACATATTCAGCAAGGACAATCCCATAAATATATTTTCTTGACATTAAAATAGTAAGGTTGTGAGGAAGTTTTACCTCGAAGTTATTTTTTCCATAAAAAGTGACATCATATATAGAACTGCGTTAGATTTAGTGATTATTTTATTCTAATTGGAAATCTGGTTACACTACTATGTATTTCATGAATTTTACAGATTAGTTAGCTTTATAAAACAATCGTTCATTATCAAACACAATAGATTTCTAAAAATAGTAGTCTCATTTCAAAGTGGTTTGTATCACTAAGGTGCCATGAGCAGTTTTAATACTGTTGAATTCTTCATGAAACGATAGCTTGTCTTTAATGAAGACTTCTGTTGCAGAGGTTATAACAGCTTTCAAACATGAATCAACCACCGAGTAAAAAATAATTATAATTTACAATATTAAACAGTAATAATGACAATATCCTCAAAAAGTATTAAACAGTGTAGGAAAATATCTTACATCTCATGATATGTATTTCAATGAAAGTGTATCAAATACGTTGTTAAACTTTATCAACATAACTTAAAATGTACAAATTCATGATAAAGTCAATTAACAACATGTTCTCTTATTGAATTATAAAATCATTCAAAAGCGTGAAGGAAGTTAAAGCATTTTATTTATTTACTTTATTTATTTATTTACTTTAAGGTCCATTATTTTAACTTTATTTCACACAGTTCACATATCAAGGATATTATTTATTGTGATGTAATTCTCTTCCAGGTGTAACAGAAGCAGGAGCAAGCTTGGTAGATGACTACAATCCCCCAGCCAATGAATTTAGATCAAATTCACAAAAGATACTTTCGATTCAATTAGAAAAGGTCATCGTGTCACGTACTATATTAATTCTATTAATGCTATTTCTACTAAGTTTAGCCATAATTATGAGAGTACTTAAACCATGGTCAAAAACGTTTGGTGCATACTGTACATTTTCTAACGGAACATTCATCTCATTAAAGGATCGTAATATATTTCTTCGAAATTCAACAGAAACAATTTTAGATGCTGACAATATTTTATTAAAATCTTACGACCTAAACTGTACAATATCTATCCCCTAGATATTTCTTCCATTATTTTTAAAGATGTACATATAAATCAGTAACGTGTATCACGAAAACCATTCATCCTTTTTAATTTACATATTACTAGTAAATTTGAAGCATAACAAATAATAATCTCATTCTTCATGAAACAGTCTTAACCTTAATTAAATACTTTCAGAGGGGATCAGATAAGATGAACTATGCACTTTAGAGTGAGTAGTAATGACTGTTGGGTTTAAGTATTTTATGTATTTGAAACAATCAGTATGGTTTATCCGATTCCTGAAGAGAACTAACTCTGCTGGTACCGACGTCAATGACATAAGCAACGGCTGGTGCTGGTTCGAATTCATGAAACAATATAAGTTCTCTCCGTGATTCTGATGAGCTTTTGTTGTCAAAAACTTCTGCCAACTGTCTTTAGTTATTTAACATGAAACATCTATGTTGATGGAAAATCGGGTAGTACAGCAACAACGAGCCAGACTGGATCGAACAAATCTGACGACCAAACACATCGACAAAAAGATGAATAAGTTGCAAAGCTTGTCAAAACCCAAAGTAGGAATTCATAGCCTTTATATTTTAGAGTGGTACGCAATGAAAACCAAAGGATCAACCGACATGAGCTTTTATATCTTCAATTATGTTTGACAGAAGTGCGTTTGAATGTCAGTAAAACATAAGTAAACTGGAAATCCGAAACGCTTCAAACTATCCGTATATCAGGTGTTTTTGAAAACAAACTAATGTTTAGTTCTTTGAATAAAAATACTATACAACAGAAAGTGCATGGAGTAAAGCAACATTATCATTTTCTACGTACCATAAAGTAAACCCGTAAGACATATGGTAAATAAAAAGCCTCTAGATTCCAAATGTTCCATACTAAATAATCCTGATAAATTGAAAAGATAAGTACACTAACATAGCTAACTGTGCATATTTGACATTGATTGAGTTATCTTTAACCATGTCCAAATAATCTGGAACTAAAATACTTTTGAAAACGTCTTCATACTCAGCTCACCTTTTTATATTCACATAATTCCTCGATTAACGTCTGACCAATGTTCAAAATGATAAAGAGTTTATCCTTCTTTTGATTTGGACGTCACCCTTCTACTATATTCTGTATTTCAGACTTTAATACATCAGTAAGTGGTGTGCATCATCGCGATGGACTAGTCCTATTCCACTTAAAGAAAAAACATTTTAGACTATGATAACAATGACTTCACGATATCTGGACATATCAGTTAGTGCTCCATATAAGGATAATATTAAAGCACTATATAGCTTGACTGTTAGTAACACAAGTAAAATATTTCATATGATGAAACTAAAACTATGTAAATACAAGTACATTAAATATATGATTCTGAACGAAATACAGCATTTACTATGAACTATCGCAATAATATCCTAACATAAGGATTGATTTCTATAATAAACTTATGGCACTTTAACCCTGAATTTGATATAGTTTCGGTTTCTTAGATGATTACAACCATTCATTATTTCAGTTCATTAAATAGTGCAAGGGTGGTCAGAAACTTATTGAACTGACAGGTTCACCATAGAGAATACTTATATGTATGCCTTCCCTTAATTGAATTGATAGGCAAGGTCCTACCAATGTCAAGCTGGTTTATAACTCACTAATACGAGTATACTTCTCGACTATAGACCAAAAATTCAAGCTTTCGCCAGTGACACAATCCAACCGATAAAAATTAATTTCGGGAAGCGGCTTAGATAATGTTAGATGCATTTTAGCTCATAACACGATTCCCTGAAATATCCTATCCAGTAAGAAATCAAACACAACAAGAATGCCAACTTTCTGCTATTATCTAATTCAATCATTATAACTCTAGCACTCATATTGTCATATACATTAATTACCAGACGGCGATACGCTATATACACGGAATTATAGTTGTTACAAAATGAAGCCATAATAGACAAAAATCTGTAGAGCCAGTGAAACACCACTAAGTCCTAAACAAATCATTCAGCAATCAGATCGCCTCTCTTTAAATAGTTTACCGAATCTCATCAGGGTCATTGATAAGCAACGCCTATTAATCGATTGTACACCAAGAACAGAAGTTTGAGGCAATGGTTCCACTTTGTGCTTCTCCATTCTCTACTTTCTAATACAGGCTTCTGTCCGCTGGAAGCATTTATTCTAACTAGTCGCTGGGGAAATCCGTTTATCTGTTTATCACGATGGGACAGGGCAGGTTACATGTTAATCGCGAGGTGTTACTCTAACGTAAGCCAAGAGGTCAAACCATCCTCGTCCAATCTTTGGTTTTGGTTCTTTTTGTAAAAGGAACTTGTTGAAATACATTGTGCTGAGAAAACTACTTAAATTGGTGGTTCATAGAACAAAGTAAAAGGATATTAAATGGTTGTTGCTAATTAAGGGATGGTAAAACGTCTAAATACAGTTAACCAATCCAACAAAATTTCCCCATACGAGGAATACTGACGTTCTGTTATTCATTTCTTCAGCTAATGCATAACAAAAAAGTATTTACTAATCCTCCACGAGACGATTTCGAAAGTCGCGAGTTTCTCATCTTCTTCAGTTCACCAGCATCCTCCTTTTCGAAGAATTATCTCGAGGAATATTTACTCGTTTGGCCTTAGTTCAAGCGTGACCATAGATCACTTGACAGAAAACGAGATAAGATTTTTTAACGGAAAAACTCAGAGTATATAAATGACCAGCAATCTTTATTCTGAATATCACTATTCTTTCGTGTTTTTTTATTCAATCTTTAACATGGTTTGTTTGCATTTTCACATTGTATAAGCTTTGTAGCGGTAAATAAATCCCCAAAATAAATAGCTCTAAGTTTTCGACATTGGATGCTGACCATATGTTTTAGTGGACTCATCTAGCTGAAGGCGCTCGGTCATGCATCCGCACCAGATCACGTGTGGTAACGCCGTGCTCAACATCTACCGCAATCGCTAGCCAGATTAGATCAGAGAATTCCGATATATTGGTAATCGCCAAATACACTCTTCCGATCTCCTCGACTCTGTCTTTTGATTTCTCTGGGTGGGAACGAAATATATTTGAAGGTGTTACTGGTAGAAGCGTTGTCAAACACTGCTTTAGTTTGGTATTTGCGAAATCCTCCTCTAAAAATCTAAAATTAGAAGGCTTTCATTAAAGTTGCCACAATTATTATCAGAAGAATATATGTGGGTTGATCACTTGCAATTTATGAACAAAATTTCGGTACCTGAACTAGAATTTGACTTTCTTGTTGTCTGGGCCGAAAGCAACGAGAGTAGTGATTTACCGCCCTTCAAGGACGGAATAGAGTAGATTTTGGACGTAACAGCTGTATATAACTTAAACTAGGGTGCTTGCAATCTCTCCTTCTTTATGAAAGACTGTCAAATTATTTTGCCATTCAATAAACATACCACTTCCTAACCTAAACGTTTACTTTCTGTTCATGCAGCTTTTCACAAGTTGGTAATTCACACTAGTAGGACTGTGTTGTATAGTTTTCGGTGTTTTCAAATGTAGTATGAATTCTACACGATATATTTCTGTGTTATGTTTCTAAGCTCGTTTGTTAATCTAAGAAAAGTTAGGCTTCTGGAGGACTGAAACCTAAATAATAATCTTTTTACGATCAGGATTTAACTAAATGCCCATGGATATTCAGTAGGACTTTATTCTCTACCAGAACTTAAGCTTTATGAACGTTATATATTGCCCACTTATCTGTTGTATTCGTCCTAACTGATCTACGGTGTAAACTCTAGATGGTAATAGTTTAGATACGTAAAACCGAAAAGACAGACACACTATATACATAAGGAGAAATCGTAAGACAGATTACAGAATATCGGATATCCATTTAGGCTGTGGTGGTTGTGGTGCTGGTGTCAACTGACGCTTTCTCTGTATATTATTCTGCACCTAACTCAAATTCCAAATTTAGTAACTTCGATTGTGCCCACGATATTCTCTTTGCTTCAAAAACTGTTAGAATACAATTTTGATAGTTCTAGGTATTACTAGTTGACATAACGAAGTTAACCATTTGTGATTACTGGATGATACTTCTAGCAGTATCATATCATTGTGCAAAGTCGTAGTGAACATCCTCGATGAACCTAGCTCTTCTCAGTCATCAAGAACATTACATTTAACAACCGCGTTTTATTCTTTCTGGATGGCTGTGAAGTCAATAAAAGATTATCCTCTTAGTATTTCAGTTATTTTCGAAGGTCTACAATGTTCTCCAGAGTCATACTACTTGCTGATTGACATTGATAGTTTTGTCGCATATACAAAAATCTGAAGTGATTGGGTAATCAAGTATTTAAACGGTGACAGCACAATACCTATCACTTTCGAGCTTCCTGTGGAAACAAGAGCGATAAAAATTTATTTTAGGACATTAGCATGTTTATATGAAAAGAAGCAGCTTGCATTCCGTTAAAAGGAAGAATAGGTGAAAGGTAATCATTTTGATTAATTTTCTTCACTGTACTGGCTGAAACTACTTCCAAGCACTGAACAAGTTGTAACGACCGTAAAAATCCTTGTTCTCTTGTTTTGATTAACAAGAGCTGGCACTTTGTTATACCGATGATTCAGTTAACTAATCTGTTATCAGTTATTCTGCCTATAGCTTTCAAGATCAATGGCTCTTACGGGACAACCATTCAGTGATCATATAACAGCCAACTGAGGACTCAATGCAAAGATCATAATAACAATTGAACAATGACCACGAAAAGTTGATAAGGGATAATAACTGACTACAGTTTGAAACTACAAAATGAAAATAAAAACAAGAGAAAACCAAAACATGCTACGGGGAAGAAGTAGAGTTAATGGAGGATCCGTGGTTCGGGCTTGAATTTGTGGATTGATCCGGTTCATTTGAGTGCATAAATTATTTTGAAGAAAGTGTTTAGAGTTGATCAACTGCTCTTACGTTGAACTGGTGGACGTTAAGCATGCTCCTTTTAAAAGCCTCAGAGATCAGTATTTTGAGGTGCGCTTGGAATGTAATAGTTTTGTGCGGCCAGTGTAACCTGCCCCATAGAAGCAAGAAAATAATCCTATCTACCTTCACTTATTCTATTTTATATATAGCCG